AGACTTGCCACGGTCTCCAACCCTCCTCCTTTCTCATCCGGGCTTGGGACCGGCCATGGCGGAGTTCTAATAGATACATATAATGGTAAATGGAAACGACCTATAATCTGTATCTGCATATAAGTCAGTATCAGCCTATGGCTCAGATCATGATATAGGAATCTTCCTGCGATGATGAACTCATGCCTCCTCTGTTTTCTGTTTAACGTTTACTTGTTTTCCAGTTTTGAGGTTGAATGATATAGTTTTGTTCCTAATATTTAAGAAATAAAATACATACCTATTTAAAAATATACATGCTCGAATAGGAATCGATCGCGATTTGATACTACGAGCAAATTGTTAAGACTAATCATCTGGCTGGAACCTTATGTGGACTGTCCAATTGGAGAATTATGTTCCAACATAAAAGAATCCATTCATACCTGTAAAGCTATGTACCTAATGCAGTATATCGTTTATTGTTTTCATTCTCATCTGAGGCTGAATAGAGCTTAGAATCAGCTCCCAGCTGATTATTTGAGCTAAAATTTTCTGTCATTGAATGTTATGTTGATGAATCTAAACCATTGATCGTGCATGCGTCAGATTTAAAGTAGTGCACTTGCATGGAAATAAGCGTTTAAGTATCTGTGTATATGAATTTGGATTTATTCTTATGTCATTGCCATATAACGAACGTTGGTGACAGACTGCTCCTTTATTTAATCTAATAATGAGAAAGCATTCGAGCTTTATAGATGAGTCTTTTTGCAAGACATGTTTTAAGATGCCTAATCTTTAATCTCATAAAAGCTTAAACTGCTGAAAACACGTCTTCCTTTTCGATCAGGGTGCATTTTCAATGGGTAATTAAATCTGATTTGTTTAGTAAACGTAACTTAACATTTGAACAAGCAGTGTTATGTCTGCATTGCTTTAGAGCTGCTTGAAGCTCAGAGGCATGGACACGTTCCTGTGGATGTTCCGGAGCGTCACGTTGATCTTCGGCTTTCTGTACATCTTTCCCTTCGGGTAAGTGTTGAATAATCACAAAGTATTTTCCAGCAGTGTTTTTATTCCTTTTAGGGTAAATCAGTCCCACTGTTACCAAAAGACACTGCTGTCAGCTGCGGCTTCGAACGCCCTTCGGTTACAGCAACGACTTGGCTATTTCGAGTTCAGTTTGGCTTTTCTGCATCGCGTGATCGCCGAAGACGCGTGTCATTACCTATTCTATTCAGCAGCGTTTCTTGGATGTACTCCCATGACCAGTAATGGCAAATTACTTTTTTCCTCAAAGTTTCAACATGTTGTGCAAACTGTCGCAAACATTTATTACGACTATGGGGGGGGCAGACCAGCGTGTACTGGCTACCAAGCTGTAGGATTTTTTCTTCAAAAAATATGGCGCTATTGACTGATGTCATCGCGAACGCTGTAAGATCAGCGGCGTGACAATAAGTTTAGCGATCATAGACGTATACTGTAGAAAAGGGCCGATTTTCAACGGTTACTAACATCCTCTTCGCCTTTTGTTAGGTTTTACTAGGTAGGTACAACTTCATCATCTGTAATGAATTGCTTAGGAAAATTTTCGCATTGGGGCGAAATGCAGCCGAAGTATACCAGCCTAACAGCTACATTAATTTTGAATCTTGAAATGGCTGGTTAAGAAGGTACTAGTATGCAGATAATGGCATATTTCCTTCTTGGTCTTAAGACAGATATCTTTAAGATAGGGGTATGTGATAAGAGATTTTAAAAGAACGAATGAGATTGCTTGCTCTAAAGATGGCCAGTGTTGTTTGGTCAAAACGTTGACTAAAGACTTTGAATTTGGTCTAGCATGTTATGGCCATAGCCATCGAATCTCTATACATGTATTAAACAGGACGCATAATCCAAATGAGTTTTCGAAATCAGAATGAACACGATTCATATGAGTTCTCGGATGCATGATGAAGACTTCATCATATTATGTACCCTTTCGAAGGAGATGGTATTCTATTGTGTGATTTCGCTTTCGATCAGATGAACGTAAAATGCGTAAAAATTTCATTTATAACTGGCATTTCGACCATGTTTAGCGCATCTTTGGAGAGACAGTGAATGAAGCACCTTACTGTGTTCACGCGGTTCGAATTAATTCTATATAGTTTATGGTTCCACTATTTATTAAAGTTAAGCTGAGTTTGATGCTATCGAACCGTGTATTCTTGATATCTAATGCAACTTTGTGGCTGACACAGGTGGATGCGTGACAAAGCAGAAGAATAGGAAAAGGAAAGAAATTAGGCAGAAGATTGATATTTTATAAATGGCCATTGAAGTATCAGCTGGAAGGGTCCTTAGTAGAATGCATCTGTATTTATTCTACTGAAAATGTGATGAATCTCCCTTTGAGAAGCTCCTTGCAAGTTTTATGCTGAGGGATGACAGTCGAGCACGAGGTCTCACGTTCAACGAAGTCACGTGTTAAATGCTCTGAATTTGATAATGTAGATTGACAGAGGTGCATGAAGTTGTTGGTGTATTGTGATTAATGTAGTATTCCTTCCGAAGGATGTTGCTGAATTGACTAACTGGTTTTAAACCTAGTTTGATATATTGCTTGAAGAGCGTGATTTCAAGGGTGACCCAGAGAAAGGAGTAACGCTTCCTAAATTATCTGGAATGGTGTTGTTCTTCCTGATCCGATACCTTCCACTTTTACTATTTGAAGGCATGCCGAGTCACTCAAACAGGTTCAGTGGCAGAAGTTTTTCCACAGTCCGTTTTGACTGTAGTTTTATCCTTGGTTTGGTTCTTTCTTATTTTTACTTATTTGAAACCGTATTTCCGACACCGGCGTTCTTCTACCTGAAAAAGCTTATTTTCTCTTTTGTCGCTTTTACTTCCAGGATGTAGTCGATTTAGCTAAACTGAAATGTATCATTTGCATTGCGTTGTTTATGCAGCCAACCAGCCTAGCTTTTACCTGTTTTTCTTCGGCTACAGAAAATTTTTGGCAATAAATCCCACTCACTGGTTCTCATGAAGTGTTGAGTAATTCAGAATTCGACAGTTCATATGTATGATCCCATTTTGATCACGCCAAGGATTTTAAAGTCGTTCTTGTTAAGTTTCGGTGATTGCTTTTGTCAGCCAGTTTCGATGTGTGCTTTTCTTCCGCGTCAGGCAGTCGATTCTATGCCAGCGTTTGAGCCTCGGCAGAAGATACCTTGAGGCTAGAGCTCAGTCTTTCCATATACTTGTCTAAGGTAATTTTTGGCCGTACCCGGGGCCTTCGGCCATTCTCTTGAGCAATTAGGAATTGTTTCGTTTTTCTTTTTGTAAGACGTGCCCAGGCTGTTGCAGCTGTTAGTTTCCAACGTTTCGTAG